GGTCTGTGTGTCCCCAAAGACCTTATTGTGTTGCAAGTGCCGTAAAACTCTTATTTACTGAAAACTAAAACCATGTGTCCCCAATAACCTTATTGTGTTGCAAGTGCCGTAAAACTCTTATTATACTTACAAAAACTACAACCGTGTGTCCCCAGGCCGCGTGAGTCCAGTGGAGGCCGGACGCTTGACCCCGTCCAAACGGTCGGTCAGTCTGAGCATCACCAACTTCCTGAAGCGCTTCTCACCCCACGCCCGCCGCAAGCCCTCCAAGGAGCGAGGAGCCAGCAAGTCCAGCTCGGCCGCGGGGTCAGCCCAGAGCTTGACCAATACGTCAGACGGAGACACTGACCGCGACAGTCCCACCAGTACCGGCGAAAACAGCACCACAGGTGGCGGGGCACACCCGGACAACAGCGCCGGCGGCAGCAGCAAGTCGAGGAAGGGCAAAGGTCACTTCTCCCGTAGTCGGGTCAGGCAGTCGTTGCTCAAGCTGGTGGGGAGGTGAAAAGAGATGTGTGTAGTTCGTTGAACCATTGTACCTGTATCATGTGTGTAGTTCGTTGGACCGGTGTGCCTGTATCATGTGTGTAGTTCGTTGGACCGTTGTGCCTATCATGTGTGTAGTTCGTTGAACCGTTGTACCTACATGTGTGTAGTTCGTTGGACCGTTGTGCATGTATGTTCATAGGTCATTGAACTATTGTGCCTGTATGTAGGTAGTTGGTTCAGCCGTTGTGCCTGTATGTGTGTAGTTGGATGAAACTTTGTGCCTAAATGTGTGTAATTGATTCAGCCGTTGTGCCTGTATGTGTGTAGTTGGATGAAACGTTGTGCCTAAATGTGTGTAGTTGGTTCAGCGGTTGTGCCTGTATGTGTGTAGTAGAATTAAACGTTGTGCCTAAATGTGTGTAGTTGGTTCAACCGTTGTGCCTATATGTGTGTAGTTGGATGAAACGTTGTGCCTAAATGTGTGTAATTGATTCAGCCATTGTGCCTGTATGTCTGTAGTTGGATGAAACGTTGTGCCTAAATGTGTGTAATTGGTTCAGCCGTTGTGCCTGTATGTGTGTAGTTGGATGAAACGTTGTGCCTAAATGTGTGTAATTGGTTCAGCCGTTGTGCCTGTATGTGTGTAGTTGGATGAAACGTTGTGCCTAAATGTGTGTAATTGGTTCAGCCGTTGTTCCTGTATTTATGTAGTTGGTTCAGCCCTTGTGCCTGTATGTGTGTAGTTGGTTGAACTGTTGTTCCTGTATGTGTGTAGTTGGTTGAACTGTTGTTCCTGTATGTCCGTAGGTCCGGGAAGAAAGCGACGTCAGGCAGTGCTGAGGCTCTCCCGGTACCCAGCCACTACACCATCGAGCTACAGGACCCGGACCGGACGCTCTCCTCGGATGAGCTGGACCAGATCTCGGACACGGGCCGTGTGGTCAACTATGGGCGAGAGCCCGGCTCAGTGGCTAATGGCCGGCCCTCACTGCCCGCCTCCACCACCCGCATGATCAAGTCCATCCAGCAGGACCAGACAAGGGACCAGGATATCTACCGCAAGTTCAAAGAGCGCCAGTCTCCGCGCCATGCCCCCGCTGACCAATCGCAGTCCCTGCGCCCTTCGACCACTGACCACTCCCAGTCCCCGCCGGGCAGTAACCAGCAGGTCAGCCCAGGGGATCTAAGTGCAGCCAAAATTGACCAGCCTGTGAGGCCGGCCTCCTGCGGTAGTGACCACATCGATGACTCCGCCCCCCGCCCC